AAAGTCTAGCACCAAGGAACAAGTAGATATAATTTGCCATGATTTGAATTTGCAGCAGTGAAATGAACAAATATAACAATTAGGTAGAATACCTGTGGATAGAACTTGACCCAGTAAAAGGCATAATTCAAGGATGACTGTGGAGATCCCCATTTTGCTGGGCTCTTCTCACTGAGTGAAAATGCCTTGACATTTATAGGTTCGTGGCCAAAAGGAGGCGTGTCCTCTGGGCGTATCTGTCTATTGGTGCCATAAATCAATATAAAGGAAGTGAGGGACTTTTCTCACAATCGATGGTGACCTGTGGCAACATCTTAGGTGTTCTAGATGGATTGTCGCATGAACAGTCTGGCTCCTCCCCAACTGCAAAAGCACTGACATGAGCGATACACTTCCCAACTTCCTTCTAGGTGAACCTTTAAGACTCTGAAGAGCTCCCTGAATATAGGGTTGATTTTCATCTTGGAGAATCTGAATGAATTTGTGGGACGTCTGCTCCAAGTTTCAGGGCACAGCAGGATGTGGGCTGCTGAGCAAATAGAGGACAGGGTGCCAAGGGGAAAAGCATGTCTTTGGAATGATTTGTCCTGGCAGGGCATCCTCCTGTTGGCCCCTGGCCTTGGAGAAAGGAGGACAGCATCGGCGCAGCCGTGGCTGCAGAACAGCGGACGTGGGGGAGTCCACGGATTCCACAGGCTTGCACCTGCTCTGACCCCATCGTCTGGCTCCCACACTCATTCCGTAGCCCGGGAGCTGAGAAACAAGTGGCCTCAAGAACAGCCACTTGCAGGCTCTGACTTCTTGCCCTTGGCGTTCACATGGTCTGACCCCTGGAGCTCGGCAAACCCACAGAACCTGCCCCCCATCCTCCTCCAACCTCTCCCACAAGCTCTTTTCTTGCGTTTGTTATGCAGGTACCCCTTTGAGACCCTCCAATCTTTTTTTTCATATTTGAAAGACATATTTTAATATTGTACTGTAACATAAGCCATATGTTGTGATTTTTTTCCCTTCTGATTTTTTTGCATTGTTTGAGACCCCAGTATTATTCACTGAACTCTGATAAAACTCCTACATCTATCAAGAAGATTTCCTGTTGTTCATCGTTCATCAAAACTCTCTTGGTGGTCAGTAACTCTTGGTTAGAAGCACAGGGCTTTGCAGGACTTGCCTGTTATCCTGGCCTGAGTGAGCCCCTAAGGCAGAGAGATGACACTTTGATTTCCTTGCCTCGAGCTGTTAACCCCTAGGCTCCTGCTGCTTCATTCTGGAAGAAAACCAGGAACACAGTCCTTGTATCAGCCACCAAGGAGGATTCAGCATGGAACACCTGCATTTGGCTTCATCCAGATGAAAGCTACTTTCGACCTTGGATTTCTTCTTTAATCCCACAGCTCTTCCTGTTGTTCCCAAGTTCCTCTTCTCCCCTTGATGAGAATAAGCAGACTTCCAAGCACACAGCCTAACTATTTTTCGTTCTCCTTCTGTCAGTCCAGCAGTTGATGATGCACGTGACAAGGCACCCGCCCGGGATGCCAGAGGCCAGACAGCACGTTGGATTCCTCTTACAGGGGTGATGATTGTTTGGATCCTGAAGTGCTGGGCTGAGAATGATTGTGATGCTGGCCTTGGGATCATCCAATATATATATATATATATACTGTGATTGGTTAGTAATGCCTGCCCTGAGCACAGCCGAGAAAAATAGAGGCCAGAGTACAAAATATCGATAGTGGAGGAGCAGGCAAAAAGCATCCCTGCCCCACAGAAGCACGCGGTCTGGTCTTGGGGACAGACCTGCATGGTGACAGTTACAAGGAGTGAGTACTGACACATGTTGCTACGGGAACATACACGAGGGACATGTAAGTCAGACGGCAGGGGCAGTTTCCCACAGGTGAGACTTGACATGTAAACAGGAGTCATCGGGCGCCCAGAGTGGGAGGACCACATGAGGAAGAGCAGTGACCCCCAGGAGGACGGAGGTGGGGCGGGGTGTCTAGGCAGGAGACGGCGGAGGAAGCCCAATCGATCGCTCGGCTCAGACCAGGAAGAACAGCGCCACGTCCTCATTGTTGTCATTTTGGGAACTCTGTCCTTCCGCCTGTGGTTAGCGGTAACGAGCCTAACACACAAATGCTTGTGAGCTTCTGTTTCAGATGTTACCAGGAAGGAGGAAGTTGGGGGACCTGCCTGTCATTTCAACAGGAGAGGTCCCAGGTGGGAAAGTGGGTGATGTCAGTGGAGCAGGAAGAGCACAAGGGGACCACAGGCCACCTGCCACCACTGTGTGGGTCCTTCAGCACCAACACCCCCACCCTGTCCCAAGGCCCTTGTGTCCCTGGCCCTTTATGAGACCCTGTTCAGGGTGGGCTCTGTCCTGTGCAGAGGGTGGGGGACCCACCTCTCTAACAGCATCTGCTCTCCCTCAGAGGGTGCACTTCCCCACCCACAGGCTAGAAGCACCTGTGTGAACAGCATGTCTGGGTGGAAGACCAGAGCTACAGACCCCCAATTCCTAAAAAAAACTGCCATTAAGAACAACAGGAAGAAAGGGAAGCCCTCAGCACCGTGCCCTCTCCTCCTCCAGAGCAGCCAGGGGCAGACTTGGGAATTCCCTGATGGAGGCCAGCCCCTCCCTTTAAGGGACCTGGAGACCGAG